CCTGGCATGGACCTGTCCAGGGTGGTTCTGCCTACATTTATTTTGGAACCTCGTTCTTTCCTGGATAAACTTTCAGATTACTACTATCATGCAGATTTCCTATCTGAGTAAGTAGATTTTCATTTTTTAAAATGAAAGACACTTCGTGGTTTTAAGAGATTTTTCAGAGGTCTAAAAGTACAGTGGTTATGCCTTACCAAAATCAGGCTCTAATGACATACCACTCTTCACTCTCTTCACCATTTCTACAGGTGACCGAAATAAGAACATTTAATACTTTGCTATAATGTTTCCATTTATGAAGTTGAGTTGGGAGATCACAAGCTTGAGGAAGACAAGGAGTCTACCCCTTATCGACAGCACTGCTTTCTCAGGCTCTCTGACCTGTTCACTGACCTAACATAGGGAGAGGTGGTTGGCATTCCTTGTGTTCCTCTCCACCTCCCCCCCACTGCCCCCGCCCCCCACCTCCCAACCCGGTCAGCTAAGCTCTTGTTCAGGTCCCATCCTGGGGCTTGGGCTTTTGTTTATACACGTACCTTCTCTGTGCTCTTGAGGCATGTGCAGCTTACCACAACCAGGCCAGTTGCTGGCTCATGATATAAATCCCCACTTCCATCCTAGCTTTTCTTCCTGCCAGCTGATCCTGGGTATAATTCTGAGGAAGGCAGGCATAAAGGAGGTGGAGGAGTTGCTGCCCATCTCTTTCCCAGCAGTTTCTTGGAGAACCAATAAAAGACATCAACTTTATGCATAGCTTTCCAAGTTTTGCACGCTGCCCCCATTCCAGCTATTCAAGACAATGTGTTTTCTAAGTTACTGAGTTCTGGTATTATGACCTGATTTTTAGATTCTGCATCAATATCTGTATTCAGTTTAGTAATTATTAGTCTATTAGTTGCAATAATGAACATTGCAAAAAACATAAGCTGAATCAAAAGATAATTGAGAAACTGGGAGATTTTTGCAAATTAAGGCATACCCAAAGTGTTAATCTCTCTAAAATAAAAAGGGCTTTTAGAAACTTAATGAAATGATCAGCAACCTAATAGAAAAAGGAGTGGAGGAAATGACCAGGGTTCAAAAATGAATAGAAACAGTCCTTAAACATGTCCTTAAACATCTCAAAATAAGAAAACTGCAGATTCAAATTATGAGCTATTATTTTTTATCCATCAGTGACCAAAATCCAAAAGATTTTATACACCAGTTCTGCTTTACATCTTATTACAGTTCTTTTATCTGTCTAGAAATTCATTTCTTTTGGAATATGAGGCAGGTTCCTGTGAATCACAATAAGAACTTCTTGAGAGATGCCCATTTCCCCAAATTGTTCTGGCTACACACACTGTTGCCAAGGTTTTGTGGGGCAACAGGCACTTGTACGCTGTTGCTGCATGATACAAACTAGCACAGTGCTTTTGAAGGGAATCTGGCAATATTTACCAGAATTATAGATGCATTCAGTCCTTTGATCCAGTAATCCTACTTCTGGTAATAACTCCTACAGATACACCTCTGCATATTCAAAATGACATATATGCAAGATTGTTGCAGCAAGGCTTGTAATAGTAAAAGATTTAGGATTATGTGTATGTGGAAAAAGCAAGGTCCAAAAAAATGTGTGTGGTTTGCTACCTTTTCTTATAAAGTGTTCTGGCTGCAAATTTTATTTGCTTCTTTATGCTTAAAGAAAACTGTTATTAAAACAACTAAAAAAAATTGCCTATATGGAGAGCTGGGACAATAACAAGACATGTGTACTTCTTTATATTGCTTTGAGTTTTGAACTACGTATATGTAAAATATAAAATAAAATTGCCTAGTAAGAGAATTTAAACCAAGATAGGAGGAGTGCAATCAGACAGTTGTTACTCCCAATAAGGGCAAGTTTTCTACTCGGCACAATTGTCAGTAAGCCTAAGCCTGGTCTCTTCCATTTCACACTTTTTCAAAAATCACTAGGGGTGCCTGGGTAGCTCAGTTGGTTAAGCATCTGACAGGTCATGATGTCAGGATTATGAGATTGAGCCCCACACGATGGAGCCCCAAGTAGGGCTGGGCCTGGAGCCTGCTTAAGATTCTTTCTCTTCCTCTCCCCACCACCCGCCGCATGCATGCGCGCACTCTCTCAGAAAAAAATCACTACACTGAGCTTTCAGACATGCTTGAGGGAAGTAATAGTTAAATTATAATTATTGTTCATATATATTATATGTTATATATGTATGAAAACTCAGTAGAATTCACTTTTGACATACACAGTCAGTGTTTTGCAGTGTTTACAGCAACAGCAAAAGGGCAAGGGGGTAGCTGAGTTATGGCTTCTAAAAATTTCTTCTTTAAAATGAACATTGTGGGCGCCTGGGTGGCTCAGTTGGTTAAGCGACTGCCTTAGGCTCAGGTCATGATCCTGGAGTCCCGGGATCGAGTCCCGCATCGGGCTCCCTGCTCGGCGGGGAGTCTGCTTCTCCCTCTGATCCTACCCCTCTCATGCTCTCTGTCTCTCATTCTCTCTGTCTCAAATAAATAAATAAAATCTTTAAAAAAAAAATAAATAAATAAATAAAATAAAATGAACATTGTTCTTTGATTATCTGCTACATTGATAGAATTTATTCACTGGAAAATCACTTGGTAGCACGTGGGATTAAAGGCTAAGAATAGGTTAAATCCTTTTTGATTGACTTAAATTATCTTAAAACTTCCATATTTGTGATTTGAAATTTCTGTATTTTGTACTAGGAACTAAAAAAGCATATAATCCTATTCTTAATGGAGCATTTTTCATAGGAGAGATTAATATTAGCCTATTCTCCTCCCTTCATGTAGGATGGCACTCACCAGTTATTGTTGAGCTCCTCTAATTAACATCAGTGACTGAGAATAGAGTAAATCAAGTGGACATGATCCTTCTCTGATACAAGGATCTGAAGACCTCTAATGCAATTGTTACTGAGGCTGCTTAGCCCCATCATTGCAAATGCTAGGCATCATGCAATCCTTGAGTCTCAAAATATGTTTATTTTTATTTTTTTCAATCATAATTTCTCACAGAACTCCTAGCAACATCTTAGGGCCCTAAGAACCCCACTTGAAAAACCTTGGTTTGGAGAGTTTCCGAAAACTACTTGAGCAAAGACCTGGGTGGTATATCAAACAATAGGAAAAATGGAGAGAAAAGCAACCAGATTATGAAAAGTTATTCTTACAGATTTACATGGTTGTTTTTGCCATCTATTTTAAATATGACTTGGGTTTTCCAGTCACATCTCATACTCAGTTGTTTAGTTGATAAATACAAGGGAGAATTTGTGATATATTTTGTGAAAGTTTTGTGTATATCATTTTGTTTTTTTAGGGCTGCTCTTGAAGAAAATCCTTATTTCCGTTTGAAGAAAGTAGTGAAATGGTATTTGTCAGGATTCTATAAAAAGCCAAAGGTAATGTTTATATTTTACTTTCTTTAACCTTATATGAGTTCTTTATTTTTTATGTTATCTTTAGTTTATTTATTGATAAACATTACAAGGCCTCTTTGAGTTAGCAAAATTGCAAACTACTTAATCATTTAGACCTATATTGTGGATTGAAGTGGTTTCATTTTATCTCATGTCTTTACTGTGAAATTTTATAAGGATAGCTCCCAGATGACACAGCTAAATCCATTTTGACTGGTGTAAACTATTTTGAATCTTCCAGATTTGTATTTTGAAACTTGTAATTTTTTTTTTTACCAGGGACTGAAGAAACCTTACAATCCTATACTTGGTGAGACTTTCCGTTGTTTGTGGATTCATCCCAGAACAAACAGCAAAACTTTTTATATTGCTGAACAGGTATTAGAAGTGCATGTTACAGAAACAAAACTGGTTCGGAAGTTATTGGAATATTTTAATAAAAAATATTAACTCAGTAAATTCACTGTTGATTAACCTTTCTTATTAGTGAGCATTTGGTAAGCATTTAACCTTTTAGTACTGAATACTACTAAATATCATATTTATAAGTATTAAAATTACCTGGTATTGCACTTTTTTGCCTCTTATTTTATAATTTAATTCTCCCATTCCAATATTTCTTCTCAGCTATTCTCCATCTACACCAACCCTGACCTCCTATTTCATGATTCAAGTGACTGCATCTTCCAGTGATTTCTCCCTTCTCAAACTTCTGTATTATTTTTTGTGATTATCCATTAAGCTGTTATTTTAACACACACTATTTAATACAGAATATTTATTTCCTAATTGAATTGTCAGGTCCTTGAAAGAGTGCCCTTCTTATAAACCTCTCTTTTTGTTGTACATATAATAGGCAGTCAAAATATTTCTTAGTTTTAATCTTTCATTAATTTAAGACTTATATACATTTATATTTGTGATTCTCAATATTCTCCCCTCGTCCTCCCCTTCCCCCTGGCCCTGAGGAATAGGACATTTTTTTCTCAATAACAATGACTCCTTACTATAATAATTCTCACCTAGAGTGTAAGAAGGATGAGGAGACTGTGTCATTTGAAAAACCTTCCTCTTCCCTAGAGATTTTGATATACCTCTCAAATGGAGATGACTTACCAATGTATTAATTTTTAAAAAATTATTGATTATACCACCTTGCATTTTAGTTCACTATAATTCCTCACTAAATTGAGAAGCTGGAGAAGAGTTTGATTTTTAGCTTTGATTCATTTCAGAAAACATAAGGTGTATATATATATATTGAAGGTGTTAGATTACTAAAGTAACATATTTGTCAAAGGTTTTGTTTCCTATTGCCTATTTAGTAATCCATATGAAGAATAGCTACTGTATTAGTTATCCATTGCTATATAATCAATGACTGCCAAAACTTAATGGCTTAAAACAACAAACATTTTTTAGCTCCTACAATGAAGTTTAGGGATCTGAGAACTGCTTAGCTGGATGGTTCTGGCTCAGGGTCTCTCATGAGAGTGCACTTAAGATGTTAGCCAGCTTTGCAATCATCTGAAGACTTACCTGGTCTGGAAGATTTCACTTCTAAGCTCATCACATGGCTTTTAACAAGAGCACTCAGTTCCTTTCCACATGGGTTTCTCCATAGGGTTGTTCACAACATGGAGGCTGGCTTCTCAGAGCTAATGATCTGTGAGAGAGAGAGAGAGAGAGAGACCAAAATGGATAGTGCATTATAACTTAATTTCAGAAGTGACCTATGTCACTTATACACAAAGTAACTTTGGTACAGTGTAAGAGGAGCCCACCTAATGGTGTGAATACCAGGAGGTGGTTTCCTTGGGAGATATCTTGGAGGCTGGTTACTATAGCCACCAGTGTTTAATTTTACCACTTACCAAACATTGCTTCTTATTATTAGAGTATACTTTTAAGACTTGACCTTTTGATAATAGCACAATAATATGCTTATGTTACTATATTTTACATTTTTTCCTGTGTTCGATAGGTGTCTCATCATCCACCAATATCTGCCTTTTATGTTAGTAACCGAAAGGATGGATTTTGCCTTAGTGGTAGTATCCTGGCTAAGTCCAAGTTCTATGGTGAGTTTCTCCTTGTCTCAGTCTGCACCCTTTTCTGGAAGGTAGTATTTAAAAAAAAACAAAACAACAAACAAAAACATATACTCCAATTTCAGATGTCTTGAGTTCTTCTAAATAGTTAAAGAAGAAATAATACCAAAAAACCACCAAAAAACAAAACCACCAAACCAATTCTGTACACATTTTACAGAAAGGAGAAGAGGAGGAAACATATATAGTATATGTTACATACGTATGAAAACATATCATTGAAAATCAGTGTAGTTCATATTAATTGAATGAAGGAAAACCATATCATTTTAATAAATGCAGAAAAAGCATTTGACAGTTTTCAACATCCATTTATGATAAAAGCTCTTATTAACAAACTAGGACTAGATTAAAGGTATCTGTGAAAAATATATGGCCAGTTTCATACTCTTAAGGTGAAAATTATTTTTACTTAAGATCAGGAACAAGGCAAAAATGTTCACTCTCACTACTTCTGTACAAAACTAATATTAGAAGTCATAGCCAATGCAGCGGGCAAGTTAAGCATACAGATTAGAAAGGAGGAAGTTAAAAACCGTATACATACCTGCTCTACAGAGAAAATTCTCAAGAATATACAAAAAACTACTAGAACTGATAAATGAATTTAGTAAGGTTGCTGGATACAAGGTCAAAATACAAAAGCCAGTTGTATTTCTTATACTAAAAATGAACACTTGCAGAATGAAATTTAAAAAACTTCTCCAATTATACTAGTATGTGAAAAATAAAATAGGAATAAAATAAAAGATGTGTAAAACTTGTAAACACTGAAAAACTACAAAGCATTGCTGAGGAAAATTAAAGAAGATTTAAGTAAATAGATATACTATGTTCATATATTAGATTTTAAAAATTGTTACAGTGGCATGAAATGATATAACAGCATGGATGAATGTGAAAAACATTTTGCTAAGTAAAAGAAGTCAAACACAATAAACTGCATATTCTGTGATGCCATCTGTACAAATTCTAGAATAGGTAAAACTACAGTGACAAAAACCAGACTAGTGGTTTCCTGGGGCTGGAGGAAAGGATTGACTGTCAAGAAGCAAAGGGGGAGCTTTTTGGGGTGATGCAAAGTTTTGTATCTTAATTGTGTGATGATGGTTACATGACTGTATACAATTGCCAAGGCTGTTGAAATACACACTTAACGTGGGTCACATATTGTACGTAAATTATGCCTCAGTAAAACTGGTGATGGCAGGGGTGGGGGAGAAAAATACACATGGGAGAAAAGCTAGAAGAAAATACCATGGAATTTTATCAACAATTGCGTTTTGATGGGTTATGCTTATGTTTTCTTTTTTCAAAATATCTATAGTATTACTATGTCAATTTTAAGTACTAAAAGCTTGGGACTTAACTATGTAACTTACAGATAAGAAATAATGTTTTTATTCAAACACAGATATGTTATTAAGCCATATCGTAAAACAGTGTTTTATTACATGTTCTATGTATTTAAGATTTTTAAGAGCCTCATATAAAATAACATAACAAGCATATAACTGTACCTTTTAAAAGTACTCATTTTGTAAGACTGGGAATGTGGATCACATATGTTTTGGATATAAGATAAAATACATATATTTGGGCACGTTGAGATTGAGACATTTTTAAGACATTCCACTGTAGATGTATGGTAGGTGTGCTGAGTATATTTTGTTTATTTTGAATTGGTTGCATTAGTTTTGCGAAATTTAATAAATGATATTTATTCTAGGAAACTCATTATCTGCAATATTAGAAGGAGAAGCACGATTAACTTTCTTGAATAGAGGTGAAGATTATGTCATGACAATGCCATATGCTCATTGTAAAGGTAAGTATTTTCCATACTTGAGTTAGATATTCCGTAAACCTTTTTAAGTAAATGTATATGGCTGTAATTTGTTGTGTTTTGTGATTGATGGAGTCAGCCTTTTGTTTGAAAGTGTCCTTGGTTTATAGATATTTAAGATTATTGCTGTCATCTAATGAATATTCCTGTGGTTAATTAATTCACCTACAACGACTTTTATGACACTTCAGTTGGAAAAGGCTGACTTATAATAATGGAATTTCGTTCACCTAATGTACAGGTTTTAAAATTGATGGTACTGCCCATTATTTCAAAATCTTTTTAAAAAAGATTTTCATTTTCCTGCACCTCCACCCCTTTTTAAAATGTTAATTTGCTGCTTTTCGGTATACTAAGTCCTTTAAAATTTTTTCTTATCCTCATTTGGCAATTTCTTAAAAACTAATGTATTACACTTTTTCCCCATTATTTAAGATACAGATAAAGATACTATCATTTACAGCAGACCAGGGACCCAACCATTCGGTGCACCTTACATTTATAAACTCATTTAATCACTTCAGCAGCCCTATAATATTGGTAATATTGTCTGTTTTATTGATGTGGAAAATGAGGCACAGAGAAATTTGCCTGAGATCACACAGCTAGGATGTTGCAGAGTCAAGATCTCTGTGACCTGCACTATTAAGCTATACGGCATCAGCTTCAACACTCAGTTTGGTCATTATCTGTATAATCCCTTGCAACCCATTTTTTAAAAATAACTTTTTTGGGTAATTATCCTCTTTTAGGAACTGATTCATGAAAACATGGAAATTATTTAATGTGGCCTCATTTCACAGATGTAGAAACTGAGAGGGTTAAGAATCTTATCTAAGGCCAAACCAGTGAGAACACGGAGACTAAACTCTAGGCTTGTTGACTCCCATCCACTGTAACATGGACCTACCTTGTTTGAAGTGGCCTCAGGCTAGATAATTCTTTTTTTTTTTTAAGATTTTATTTATTTGACAGAGAGAGAGATAGCGAGAGCAGGAACACAAGCAGGGTGAGTGGGAGAGGGAGAAACAGGCTCCCTGCTGAGCAAGGAGACCGATGTGGGGCTCGATCCCAGGATCCTGGGATCATGACCTGAGCCGAAGGCAGACACTTAACGACTGAGCCACCCACCCAGGTGCCCCTCAGGCTAGATAATTCTTAGAGCTTCGTGTGTGGTTCTTGAAATAGGCATGAAGTGAAATATCTGAAATTATAAACTAAATTTGATAAGAAATATATTTTAAAATCTTGTATCATTTAGAATAAAGAAAATGATATTTTATGTAGATACCCAGGGCCAATGTCTTTTTGCATGGAAAAAACAAGAGATTATAATAACCCCTTGTGAATGAGCATAGAAAATAATGATTGTTTTTTACCCTTGTGTATTTTCTATGATGTGTTCCTCAAATCGTTAATCTCACAAATTGTTTTACAAAGTGAATTCCATAGGCAAGTAAGTATGAGACACATTGCATAGTCTCTTCCCCTCTTGGAAATTAACATTGTGCATTTGCATATTAAAAGCTCCCTTAACAGTTTAGTCCAAGAACAGATCATGCACACATGCACACTTAAACTTTAACAAATTTAAAAGAATTTTCTCAACTTTTAGCCACAGAACCTATCTTGAGGGATTTTTTTTTTTTTTTTTTTTACATTTTTGTCTTACTTATATAACTGTTGATTCTTGTGATTAGCAGTAGTTATGTTCCATAAAGTCACCACAAATACATTTTAATGAATACTAAACCATTGCTTCTAGGGGAAGCACAAGATTAGGTTACTATGAGTCACCTTTTCATCAACCAATTAATACATAACCTTGTTTCTATTTAAAGACACCTTATTGTGGGGCGCCTGGGTGGCTCAGTCGGTTAAGCGACTGTCTTCGGCTCAGGTCATGATCCTGGAGTCCCGGGATCGAGTCCCGCATCGGGCTCCCTGCTCGGCAGGGAGTCTGCTTCTCCCTCTGACCCTCCTCCCTCTCATGCTCTCTCTATCTCATTCTCTCTGTCTCAAATAAATAAATAAAATCTTTAAAAAAAAAAATACACCTTATTATATATTATTGATTCAGTAACATTGAACTAACAGCCAACAGCACTATAATCATGCCTGAACCAAGCTTTAATACACATTTTCTCCATAAGGTACATTATAGCCTTCTTTGCTTAGGAAAGCTAGATAGCACTTTAGCACTACATTTGGAGGTCATTTTAAACCATAAAATTACCAACAAAAATCACCAAACTGTGAAAAATGTGGCTCTTAAAAATACTGCAAAAAAAAGCACTTGTTTACCAAATGAGGGATGAAACCAGAAGGCAGTGTTAACCTTGTTCAGCCTCAGCTGGCAATTTGCACATGGTACAACTCAAATATTTCACCACTCTGTGCATGAAGGACTGCAAAAGTGCTGTGGGTATTTATTTTGGGATTGCTAACATGTTTTAGTGAGAATGTGAATTCGCAAATAATTGGATCTACAAATGGAATGGAATCTGCAAATAATTGTATCCTCTGTTACCTATTTAAGTCCTACAGAAACAACTCTGTGTATGTTACAGATTGTTATTGGGTGGGACAGAAAACCCTTGAATTATTGGTTTCTCCTAGAGGGAGAGTAGGTTGTAAAGTTCTGCTTGTTATTATTAGCCAGCATTTCTCTTCAACCTTTTGTCAAAATTGTTTTTTTTTTAGGAATTC